GGAAGTGATTCAGGGGTGAAACTCCCGAAAATTATGAAGGGTTTCAAAGGCTTATTTAATCTATTTTTAAGTCTACTAACATGTAAAAATACATATAATTTTTCCACTCCCCTGTGAATTGTGTTTTTCTTCCCAACCGTTGGGGGGAGGGGGACACCGATCGTTTCGGTAGAAAAGCCAGTTGTTTGTAAATAATTCTTAACCATAACATCCATTGAACAATAAAATGAGACATTAATGTAGGTGTAATTTTTGTTCATTATTACTAAATTGTTTCCCATTGTTATTAATATGGAAGTCTTTTATCTGAACATGTATACGGTATGTTTTTCCTCAAGGATAAAACTATTTTTCAGTTTTTAAATATTTACATTATTATTATAAATTGATACGGTACGGTATGGCATAACTGCTGAATTTAAAACACGTCCTGCTCTTGTTGCTACACCATCCGCACTTCCCTTTTTTTTCTGGATCACCCCTTGTGTGAATTTTTAGACCCGCCCCTGAACGTGGCATTTATTCCTATAAAAACCAGAGCCTTGCAGGCGTCAACGTTCCTATGCATGATACAGGACTTAAAAAGTATATAGGCCCTATATATATATATACGTGTATATATATATATACACGTACATATACATACATATATATATACGTATACACCTATATATATACGTATACATGTATATATATATATGTATATACGCGCGTGTGTACATATATACGCGCGTGTATATATATATATATACGCATGTATATTATACGTATATACTGTATATATTATGTATATATACATGCTGTCTCTTATACACATCTAGATGTGTATAAGAGACAGCTCATAGCTCTAGTGATACATACTTGATGAAGACTCTTTTGAATTATGAGCACATAGGCTAGCAGGTGCCAGTGACCAGAGCGAGTGTGTTTCCATGAGTAATAACTGTCTCTTATACACATCTAGATGTGTATAAGAGACAGGCATAATCCTTAAATTTGCGCCTCCATGTGATTGTATCAGCAGCATAAGTCTCCCAACAGTCAGGTTGCATACCACATAACTTAAGGTGTCTTTTTAGGCAGTCTTTGTACCGCAGGAGAGGGCGGTATCTTTTTCTTGTCCCATTACTTAACTCTCCATAGAATACGCTCTTGGAAATTCGATCTTCGTTCATGTGGATGACATGCCCACACCATCTCAATTGTCTCTGTGTGATCAGAGCTTCAACGCAGGGCATACCTGCTTTCCTTATAACTTCGACATTTGAGATTTTGTCCAGCTACTTTATATGCATAATGTGCCTTAGATGGGACATCTGGATTTGTTTTCGATATAGTGTATACGTTTCAAATGAAAAAAGAAGGCAAGAGAGTACCACAGCTCGATAAACCTTGCTCTTAGTGCTTTCCAAACT